CAGAAATGTCAAAGACTGTAAGAGGGGCTGGGGATTTAGCTCCGGTAGAACGTTTGCAGGAAGCCCTGGGTTCGGTCCTTAGCACCCAAATAGAAAAAAAAAAAAAAAGACTAAGAAACAGTGAACAGTTTTCCCACGATAAAACACATACCGATGAAAACAATAATTGCACACAGTAGGGACAAGTGTCACAGAGTCAGCGCTGACTACAACCAACCGGACAGCAGGGGAGCACCCTTCCATTTCCCTGAAATGGACAGAGGCAGGACGGGCCATCTGCGAGGGCGGGCAGCGGCTGCCTCGGGAAGAGACGCCGGCTGAACTTCTGCACCCAGGGGGCTCTTTCTAGGGGTGTGTGGCTACGGCTCGGCTCGAGAAGTTCCCCAGGCCCCTTCCCTGGGTCTATGCTGTTGCGTATGAATAGTGTATCCCAGTGAAAGGCTTAAACATCATTAAGAGCCACCTTGCGCCCATCCCTGTGGCTGCCACCAAGGAAAGCGAGGCGAGGCGAGGTGGGATCCTTACTCTGTCAGTGGCTGCCTTCGCCATTTCTTGTTTCTCCTGTTGCTGGGACAACACACCCCACACCTGACCCCCGCTCTGCCCACGTGAGCGCACAGCAGCCCCGACGCTCGGTCACCGGTGGGGTGCACTGGGGCAGGGTGCTGAGCCAACCAGACTTCCTCGGGAAGCTGAGATGTGAGCAGCACTCAATCTCCACATCTCCCGAAATGGCATTAAGACTGCCCAACTACTCAGAATCTTTAAAACCCTTCTTAGCCCGAGAGCCCTAGAGCAGGTGTTGGTGGTCCACGCTGTGGCTCCCAGGAGGGGCCACGCCCATGCTGGGAGAGGAGAAGCAAGTCTACGGGGAACTTCCGGCGGAGAGCCCAGACCTGGTTTTCTCTAGACCAGGGGAAGAACTGACCCTGGCCCCTGCACCGGAGCCCCCAGTACCGAAGCCTGAGGACTGGAAAGCCCCGAGTGAACTGTCTTTGGTGCCATGACATTTGGGAAAGAGTGAAATGATCTTCCCAGGTATAAAATCCAGATCTCACTTCAAAGAATCCAGAGACCTATGATTTCTGGTGACTCAGGATCATCACGGCCCTGTGAGAGCCACAGTGGAGCTGCAAACCCGGAGCCCTTCCCAGCAGGGTCCCTGTAATCCCAGCACTTGGCAGGCTGAGGCAGGAAGGTCACCAGCACTTCGAGGCCGGCCTGGGTACACACACAGCAAGAGCCTTCATCTAAAGCCCTTTTAAAAAGTTTAAAGTTCATTTTGCCTGCAAGAGTTCACATACCTCGAGCCCTTAGGCTGAGCGTGGCAGGACGCGGCTCAGATGGGGCGCAGGGCGCAGCCCTCACCCAGTACTTTGGGAGGCAGGGATGGGAAGAACACAAGTCATGCCTGGGCAACTTGGTAATTTATCAAGATCTTGAATAAAAAACTAAAAAAAGAAAAAAAAGTTTAAAGATATGCACAAAGAAAACTGAATGGCCAGATGTGGCGATCGGTGCATGCCTGTAATCCCAGCACTCAGGAGGCCAAGTCAGGCGAGTCATCTCAAGTCTGAGGCCAGCCAGGGCTACATAGTGAACTCCCGAGCAGGTAAGACCCTGGGTCAAGCCGAACCAAACCACCCCACCAAAAATTTACAAATTTTAAAAAGAGAGAAAAAGAGAACTGCGGGAGCAGTGTAGGAGGAACTCACGTGGTGGCAATCAAAGACCCAGGCCTCGAGCTGAAATCTGCCTTAAGACAGAAGGCCTGCTGATGGCTGACTGCGCAGCTGAGACTCTCCTCGAGCTGGCTGGGTGCCCGGCCCTCTCCCGCACCGAGGGCTGAGGGGCTGCGTGCTGACCCCGGGACGCGCGCGCGCTCGCTCGGAGCAGGCGGGTGCAGGCTGGGGTGCGGGTGGGTGTTGCCGCGGGGGCCACGGAAGGGAGGTGCCAATGTGGGCGGGGCCGGCCGCGCACCCCTCGGTCTCCTCCCTGCGACCGGCCTCACGCTCTGAATCACAAGCTCGGGGAGTCTGAGAGGATGCAGACGGGCTCCCGGGGCCACATCCGGCTCAGACCCCGGAGAGCGGTGGAAGCGGCGCCTGCCTCCCTCCCTCCCTCCCGGCCCGCCTCCGCCAGCGCGCACTGCGCTGCTCTAACTAGGAAGACGACGCTTAAGCAAAGCGGAGTCGTAAGCTAGTGCGAGCTGAAGGTACAAGCCGGCAGCAGCTGGGAATGTACGGCTACTCATTTCACTGCTATACTAA